TGTCACAAGCATAGCAGATGTAGATGAAGCTGTTCAGCTTGCAAAAGAAGCCCAAAAGTTCTGTGCTATGGGTTTACTGTGACTAAGCAAAGTTGTGCATAGTCGTAGTGCTTGAGCGTAAAACCATCTGAGCGTGCAACTGAACCAAAGGCTCTTGATCTCATCTTTAATGATCCATCACTGTGAAGAGCCTTAAGAACCCACTTGGACATTGAATCAGACAGTTTCAGTTTCCATACCTTTCTGAAGGATCAACCAGAAACCCGACGTGGCATACTCTCCACAGCTGCCTCTCTTCATGAATCATTAGGGCTTGTTGCTCCTTCCTGCTAACTGGGAAAAGGGTGTTTCAAGAAATTGTAGGCATTTCACAGGCTGGGATGTCCCACTCATCAGTTAACCTCAACCAGTCTGAAGATGCTGGAAGAGTGATCTGGCATTTGGAGAAAATCACATGCCTCACTGCTATGTATCAACTGACTTTGGAAAGATCAAATGGTCATGGCCAGTGTTAATATTTGAGACACGTGAATGAAAATGGATCTCTTAATTGTGATCTGGTCGTGTCAAAGTCCACTGGAGCTACATTCAAGGCTGTGACAATCCCCAGGTTAGAGCTGACTGCTGCTGTTGTGTCCATCGCAGCAAGCACTGCTCTAAAGGAAGAACGTGGAATTTCAGGGATTGATTAATATTTCTGTACAGACTCCAAGGTTGTACTAGGGTACAGCAACAACAAACCATGTCGTTTTCACATATTTGTATTGAATAGGATTCAGAAAACTCATCTCAGTACAACTACTCAGCAAAGGTGATATGTCTCCACTAACAAGAATCCTGCAGACCTTGCTTCCGGAGATTCAAGTGCAAGCAAGCTTCTCACATAAAACTGGTTTACTGGACCCAAGTTCCTATGGGAGAAAACGGTGCCTCCACCTGCAGAGGTAATCCCAGAAATCTCACTTGGGTGACCTGAAGTTAAAAAGGTTCAAACACTAAATGTGCAGACTGCACATTTCTGTCTCTCTCATCCAGATCAGATTAACTTCATTATGAATGCTCTCCATTCAAGCCATGTAGGAGGTGTGTGGGAGAGACAGATCAGAACAGGAAGGAATGTACTTCGGTCCAATCTTCCACCCTCACGTGAAAGATTGGATGATGCCAGTGTCTATTGTGGACAGTCGTCTACTCACTGTGGATAGCCTAAATGATGCAGATGGTCCTGAACCACTTACTCCCAATCACATACCATGAAACCATGAAACACACTTAGTCTTACCACCTGGAATCCAACACCATCAGAGAGGACATTCAATTCAATTTTATTTATATTACGCCAAATCACAACAACAGTCGCCTCAAGGCGTTTTATATTGGACAGTAGATCATACAATAATAGATACAGAGTAAAACCCAACAATCATATGACCCCCTATGAGCAAGCACTTTGGCGACAGTGGGAAGGAAAAACTCCCTTTTAA